ATGAAGAGCCACTCTGTGGAAATGTCACCGCTGAATCCTATTTATTTATTTATTTATTTATTTATTTATTTAGCTTAGCCATTTAAACACCCACGCATACATACACACACACACGATGTATATAAATATAGAATGTCTGGGAACCCACTACAGCATGGTACATTTAAGTAAAATAAGTTATAAACAAAGTTCTTTTTGCGTGCTTTGTCTTTGTCCTTTTTTCCCTATATTACGTTTTATGGAGAGAAAAAAGCTAGGAGCAACAGGATAAAGTGCTCTGCAAGCCACGGGTAGTACTGCATTGACAAGGTGCGGAGCATGGTGTTAGTACTCAAGGAGAGATTTCTTGTAGGCAGTCAATGATACGTTCCTAACTCGTAGATGTTCTGGTAGAGCATTCTAACAAAACAAGAAGCGCTAGTAGATGACTGATTAATGTTCTTCATCTTCTCTGAGTGAACGTTTTTGCTCGGCTGTTACTTCATGCTCTTGTTCTTCTGCCTGTGTCCCTCATGACTGGTAACACCTCTCTTTCTATGAAGGAACTTCTAGTTATTCTTTTCGTTTATAAACCATCAATGGCTTTGAAGAAGAAGATTGTTGAGACGTATAATATTTTGCCGTGGGCTTCCTGTGGAAGTGCTGTTTTGGTAGGGCCCGGGGGGAAGTCGAAGTGAGGAGTAGAGAGAGTAGGAGTTGACTGTTATTAAAGGAAGGAGATCGAGACTGTTCTAGAATGGATAGCCATAAAATATGTAAGTTATGTTTTGAGTTTGGGTAGAAGTTAAATTTACATTTTCATGCCTATAATTTTTCATCCACAGCAAATCGTGTAATCGTGTAATCGTGAATTCGTGTATTCGTGTATTCGTGTAAACTAGCAAAATGGATAGAAACATGTAATTGACCCTCGAACTACGTTTGAATAAAACTTTGAAAAAACACACGCATCTCGACATCCCGAGGTAGAACCTTCGAAAAAGCCTACAAAGATGATGTCTAGCATTTCATGCCAATGAGAGATGGGCAACAGATTGGTTAGTTGCAATCTATCCTTGTACTCCGTGTCACAGATGAATGGGAGTTTGAGTACGTACTTGGTTGCGCGCCGCTGTTCACTGCTGTTCAACTTGTTTAATGAACCCAACAGACTGTGGTGACCAAACCTGAGTAGCATTTGCTAGATGAGGGCGTACAATAGCCAAGTACAACGGCGTGTTTTGGGATATATAGATAAATTACCTCTATCGATAGGTTAATTTCCTACATAGTTTAATAAATAACATAATTTTAATCTTACAGGGATAGATGGGGAAGGAAATTTTTTAATGGTAATTTTTGAATTTTAGCTATTTTATCTTATTAGATTGTAATGCGCAGTAGAAAACAGAAATGTTGATTCTTGCTGATTCATAAGTTAATAAATTTCCTCATCGGGAATTGTAACACAACGATTGCCGCCAGATTTCATTTTGTTGCCGACTAAATATCCCGAGATTCAGAGGTGAATGTCGTACAATATTCACCTCCAATTAACCAATGAGCGCGCGCGTTCTTAGGAAGTACACAAGTTGGTATATGCTAATAGATAATAGATAATGAAATAGGAAATTTTTCTATGTAGCTAATGTTTCATACCTAGTTTTCCAGTTTTTCCCAAGCATCCTTGAGTTAATGCTTCTTGCATCATTCCATTGGAGTACTGATGTCCTGCCCACGACAGCAACAAATGGCGAACGATCTCTGTGGGAAGTTTCAACAGTCAGTGCATATTAATTTAAAAAAATGAATTAAATGAGTTTAAAAACCTGTTGATTATACTAAGTGGTGTGCAAATTAAATCTTATAGTCAGCTTTTCATAAAGGTTGAACGTTTCTTACCATCTAGACACACCAACAGAATCCTTTCCATAATATTGTGCAATGAATTGGAAGTATATATATTTTTGTTTGTTTATTTATTATTTTTGTAAAGTATCATCTTCTAATGATTTGTTTGTTCGTGTTTTTTTTCCTTTTTGAAGTTGAAATTAAATATCTTTATGGTACTAATAAACAAAATTTTAAGTCATTGTTTATTGAATAAAATCCCTAAAGATCCATACTTATTGCTTTGGGGTTCGTCAAGTTTATCGAATTTAGGTGTGAGTGCCTTACACCGCTAAGACAAATGCCTTTCATTGAAAATGCATGCTTGAAAAATGCGAACTCATACCTGGATAAAACAGCATGTAAGGAAGTATTCTCTGCATATCATTATGAATGGTATCAATATCGTTACAGTCATACGCTTCCCATTGCCTCCATCTTCCGTCTTTTGTCCAGAACGCCGATCGCCAAAAGCTAACACTATTCATCAATAAGTCATTCAGCCAGGTAGGAAGTCGATAAACAGTGGAGCTGGGTTGCATAGAAGGTCCAGTACTAAGCAAAAATGGTTCTTGCCATGTTGCAATGCTAGATACTGACTTCAGGAGATTTTTACGCATATACGCCGCTACTTCTTGGCTTGATTGGAACATGTTGGTGTAAAAGTTACCGATATGAACCTTGGCCATGTCACGGTGGGGGTAATACCAAGACATAATAATGGTCAGGGATTTTGTCTGTCCGGGTTTCAAAGTGGTTCTGACTGAAGCTGATCCATGTAGACCAACTACTGGAACAATGGTCGTGTTCCCAGCAAGACCTGTTGTTTAATAAGCGAAAGATTTATCAATTCATGTTATGAATAATAGATAGTATATCTTATCATAAGCCTATAAGACAGTTCTTTCTCAAGTAAGTTAAGGCATGAGTTGAAGGCCATCTATGGTTAGAACAATTTTAATTTTCTTTAGCTTTCATTTCTATCTGAGACATCGCCAAAATTGGCATGGCCACATAACTTTATGAGCTAAAGGTTTTAGGAGGAGAATTTTTGAGATAATTCGGACACATGACCTTGTTCCTCACTTCCATGCACCCGATTTTTTTGAATTAAAATGGGGTGACGGTTATCATCTGTACATAGAACTTTATGGTATATTTTCATTCTTCAAGTAAGATGTATATGGAACTGTCCTAACACCTGAACTACCATTCCTCATTTAGGGGATATTTGCCTATGTTTGATTGAACATGCAGGTCACGTGACCTATTTTGCATTATATCCCCTAAACGAACAATGGTAGTTCAGGTGTTGGGGCAGATTCACATACATCTTATAGGAAGAAGTGAAAATATGCCATAACATTTTATGTACAGATGATAAACATCACCCCATCTAAAGGGGAATTGGAAATAAGTTGCAAAAAGGCAGAGCGTAGGATGTATATGAAACTGTCCTAACACCTGAACTACCACTGCTCATTTAGGGAATATTTGCCTATGTTTGATTGAACATGCAGGTCACGTGACCTATTTTGCATAATATCCCCTAAACAAGAATGATAGTTCAGGTGTTGGGGCAGATTCATATACATCTTATGGGGAGAAGAGACAATATGCCATAACATTTTATGTACAGATGATAAACATCACGCCATCTAAAGGGGAATTGGAAATAAGTTGCAAAAAGGCAGAGCGTTTATGCCGTACTGATTAGTCAAATAACTCTATTAAATAAAAAGCAACAACAGTTGAATAAATTGAATTATGTGTGGTAAACTGTCTATCTTAAGTTACGCTACAGAGGGCGTTTTTCCCTAGCTGAATACCATATTTGCTCAGCGTTTAGCAAAATAACGAATCCGGTGATCCCTCATTTTTTATTTCAATTCTTTTATCAAGTTATGTTGGGGTATGCATATGCCAACCTTGAAAACTGCAATCGCAGCTTCATTTACCCGCGAACGAACGTTCTTAAAGGACTCGAAAGTCGACTAAACATTGTTTTGCCCACATATAAAAATTAAATACATAATTAAAGTATATATTTACTCTTTACAGATCCAATGAATACTGAATTAACTGACCTGTTTCATTGAATTTTTTCCATATATCCATAAAATCATCAGCAACACCAAAAGAAATCTCCTTGTCATCCCCTTCTACGGCATGCAACGTTGTACTTCCACTTTGAGGAAAGAATCCTGGTCGTTCGAGGGTCAACATTGAGTTATTTGTATTCCATTGTCCCTTGACTCCAGAAATTATCCCAGCAGTCCATGCGTGATTAGGCATTTTGTCTTTAAGAAGACATGCATTCGGACCATTCGTTGTCCAAGCGATGCACTTGGGCATCTTTGCGCATGCTCTTGCGCAGTCCGCTGGTAAGACATTCCTAATGACAAGAAATAAGAGAATGAATCAAATAACATCATTTGATATACAAACTAGAGAAATTAATGATAATCTAATTAAGTATAGCCGAACATCGCTTTTTATGCTAAACACTGATATGTGCATTAGAAAATCACAATATCAATATTGTTAATTGTTGTGCAATATAAGTTATTTAAATCATCATCATCATTGTGATCATCATTATTATTGTTGTTGTTGTTATTGTTGTTATTCATTAAATAAAAATTTTTTGACTGGTTCACATATTTAAAAATCATCATCAATATATGCTAAAGGTTTAGACAATGTTTATTTACCGGGTTACCTGTGAAACACCGGGCATAAGTTACACAATATTCCCCAGGAATCTTAGGACCTTACCCAAGAAACCTTTGCGGGCTTAGGGTTCCGGTTTACAGTTCAATCAATTAGCATGTGCCAGCTATCAATTAAATCATCACTGACTCTATGCTCTTTATGTTCACGACGAACCCCAAAACCATGCTAATCAGCAGTAGAACTTGATGAAAATAGAGGAGATCCAATTGATTGAAGAGGGCTAAAGGAATTTTCGTAAGTAGGGATGTTTTCCAGCACGAACAAGGAAAAGAAGTTTGGAAGCACACACATAGTTATATATCCAAACCAGCTTGCTTTTATTATAGCGAAGGATTGTTAAGTAAACACGTTGGCTATAGTCTAATTTAGACTTTAATATCAGGGAAAAGATGAAATTTTGGATTAAAAAGCTTTTTAGTATGAATTCCGCTTTGGCAAACTTTGGGAAACCTCATAACTGCTCAAGGGTGAGTGATAATCGACTCATAATCACTGGTCACTTGACCAATCACAGTGAGCAAAACTCTATATTTAAGCCGTCTAAAATTATACCAATTAACAATTATTCGCTGAAGGCGAAGTGATTATTCATGAAATATTCGCCACAATCACTGAGCCTGAGGGGAATAATTTTTTTAGAATAATTTTAGACTTGAACATCAGAGAAAATTCGACATTCAGGATAAAAAATAAGCGTTTTAGTATTACTTCCGATCAGTCAAACTTTGGAAAACTTCATAATCACCGCTCCAGCAGTCACTGGTCGCTCGACCATTAACAGGGGGCAAAACTGTATATTCAAGTCACCTTTATCCAAGTCTAAAATTAAACTAAAACAAAATATTTCAAAAACTAGCGCATAAGGTTAGTCTCAAGGACGTTCGCGAGCATTGTTTGCCCGAAGCTTTTCTACACGGGAGTCTAATGCACGTGCGCTTGTCGTGATGATGTTATTCGCATATAGAGGTGTGCTTATGCCAAGTTCTAAAAATTCTGATTGCGACTTCATTTGCCCGCGAACGTGTGCTTACAAATTTAGTTACATCGTAGTATTAGAGCAGTTTTTGTATGACTGTGAAAAGCTCACGGCACAAACACGGTCGTGACACGACGGCAAAGCATACGTCAGAACAATCACATAGCATGATAATTTACTCTCCATGCAATCAAATGTCCGAAACACAGCATGAACACGGCATAAACACGGCATAAACACGGCATAAACACGGCATAAACACGGCATAAACACGGCATAAACACGGCATAAACACGGCATAAACACGG